GAGAGAGAGAGAGAGAGAGGGAGAGAGGGAGGGAGGGAGGGAGGGAGAATGAGAGAGAACAAGCAAAGTAAATTATTATAAAGAGAGGCCTGAACAAGAACCAGGCTGGCCTTAAATTCCTGGTCCTCCTGCCTCTTCGCCAGTGCTGGATCACATGTGCTAATCATGTGCCACTCATGAGCACCTTTTTTAGTACAAAGGGCAACAGAGGCACAGAGAAAATAGAGCCTTTAAATATATAGCACTGGGTGACTTGGTCGATAACGGTGGGTAGGACTGGGACTCACTCCTAAACTGGACAGAGGCAGGTGTTTTCTTTAACATGAACAAAACCTGTCATTTCCAGTCAGACAAAATGACAGCATTTCTGGGACATGGTAGGTTTTTTTTTTTTTTTGGTTTTTTCGAGACAGGGTTTCTCTGTATAGCCCGGGCTGTCCTGGAACTCACTCTGTAGACCAGGCTGGCCTCGAACTCAGAAATCCGCCTGCCTCTGCCTCCCGAGTGCTGGGATTAAAGGCGTGCGCCAACACCGCCCGGCGACATGGTAGTTTTAAGAAAGGTAAACACTCTGGGCTTTGAAAAGCTTGTACCCACCTCTGGTGGCTATGTATGTACAGTGCCATAGTATGTCCTGGCTTCCCAGTAGAGACACTGTGGACAGTAAAACTCCCCACGGAGACTCTGGAAATGATTCCTTCTGTCTCACTGACATAGCCCACTGTGCGCACAGATTCATAGCACGTTCTGAAATAAGAAGTGTTCTTGCTCTTGTTACTTTCCTTTATCCACGTGTTAAGGCAGTCATTTATTCACCATTCATCCATCCATCACACATTCATTCATACATTTGTCTGTTTATGTCATGTAAGCTGGCCTTGAACTCCAGATCATCCTGTCTCATCTTCTCAAGTACAATAATTCATATACAGACTACCACACCCCTTTTCAAGGCTATGACACATCTGTCTAGAAACTTAAGATAGTTTATCCTACTATGGTGTATTTTGGAATATCATGGGCTATTGGGATGGCTCAGTGAGTAAAGGCTTGTGGCCATGCCTGATGACTTGAGTCTAATCCTTGGAAGCAACATGATAGAAGGAAAGAAACAACTCCTGAAAATTGTTCCATGACCTCCACATGTGCATCTTGGCAAGAGCAAGCACATGTGTGCTCCTGTACACACACACACACACATACACACCCCATATCAAAAATTTAAAAAGAAAATTGTAACAGAAAAATTATTATTAGCAACCATTTCCCCATTCACATGAACATAAATTGAGGCTCTGAGAGTGTGGTGAGGGAAATGAGGAGGTAAAAACTTCTAGAGAGAAGAACTGCACACACGTGGGCACATATAAATGATCAAAACAAATAACCCTAGACACTAAGAACCCAGGATCCAGTTCTTAAAGCTGGGTTGAGCTCAACTGTTGAGGTAGTCACAGAGCAGAAGTCTCTCACTGGGGTGGGTGCAGGGGGATGACTGATAACTCAGTTCACATGCAGGGTGTTTCAGTGGTCACAATCTGGGAATGGGAACCAAAAGGCTCTGGTAGCTGCTGCTCCTAGCCCACAAGGAAAGTTTGGGAAAGCTGGTTCTACTGTCAGAGAAGAAATCATCAGCATCAACAGAGCACATACCACTCTGCAGCAAGAGGAGAGGCCATCCAAGCAAAAGGTGATGTGACCTTCCTTCTGAAAATACTCCCTTTTATCTAGGTTCTTTCCTGATTTGTGGCAAGTTGACACCAGATCCAACCATAGCATGAGACATTCCTATAAACACTTTGTGGAGTCTACGCAGTTCATATGCTTGAGCGGTTAAGAAAAATACAGTTCAACCAATAAAGTGCCTGCCATGCAAACATGGAGAACTGAGTTCAGATTTCCAGCCCATGTAAATGGCTGGGATTATAATGTGTGTCATGATCTCAATACTAGGGGGAGGAGATGCACAGACAGGGGGAGCCCTGGAACCCATTGTCAAGCCAAGCCAGCTAAATTGATGAGCTCCAGGTTCAGTGAGGCACCCTGTAATTGAGGAAGACATCCGACGTTGACCTCTGACCTCTCAGCACACAGTCACACATCCAACACACACACACACACACACACACACGTTGTGGAAAACCTGCAACTGAAAGTACTTACACTGATGACCTGGCTTTCCCAGGACTCACAACTTTCTCACGGGCTCAGCTTCTACCAGTGGGTTCACAGCCATCATCTAGAGCAATGGTTCTCAACCTGTGGGTCGCGACCCCTTTGGAGGTTGACTGATTCACAGGGTTCCTTTACGTCCATCAGAAAACACAGATATTTACAATTCATAACGGCAGCAAAATTACAATTATGAAATAGTGATGAAAATAATTTCATGGTTGGGGGAGGGGTCGCCACAACGTGAGGAGCTGTATTAAAGGATCCCAGCATTAGGGAGAGAACCACTGCTGTTGGGAAAAATAAATCTTGTCTCAAACACACACAGGGATTTCTTCTTCTTTCTCTGTCTCCTCCTCCTCCTCCTCCTCCTCCTCTTCCTCCTCCTCCTCCTCCTCCTCCTCTTCCTCCTCCTCCTCCTCCTCTTCTCTTCTAACTGTATCCCTGACATATTAGAGAAAATCAAACCGATCTTTTGATTTCTCTTGCAGACAAATTAGTGGACTAGTACTCATCGTTTTTGAAGTATTATCCTTTAAAAACTGACATGGTTTCAACTGGTGATTATCTCCGTTAAAATGTATTCCTCTTGTGCAAATAAACACTGTACTGTGCTGGTATGCATTTGCTGATTTTCTATGGAGTTCCACAACATTGATTCTGCAAAGATTCCTCCTTCTGCTGTTTGCAAATAAGTTCTGATTTCATTCTTGCTGTGATAAAATATCCTGACAAAGGCAATTTTAAAAAAGGAGGTTTATTTGTCTACAATCACAAGTTACGGTTCATCATGTTGGAAAGAGGCAGCCAGGAATGTGGAGCAGCCTGTCACATCCTCAGCAAAAGTAGAGCAAGAACAAATGGATGCCTGCTTTTGCTCAATGTCCTCTTTAAGTTTATATGTTCCAGGCCCCAAACCCTGGGAACAATGACACCCACAATGGACAGATCTTCCCACCTCAGTTACTGTGATCAGAATGATCCTTCCCAGATGTGTCCATAGGCCTACCTCACTCTTCTACCGTCTCTCTCTGAGACTCTATTTCCAGTGTCAAGTTGACAAGCAGAGCTGACCATCACAGACTATTTCTCTCCTAAAATTCCTTCAGAGGTTGGTGTATAGTTCAATGATACTACATCAGTCTAAACAAGCCCCTGGCCATCCTCCAAAACACCACCATTGTGAACACACACACACACACACATACACACACACACACACACTCACACACACACGATTTCCTAAATGCCTTAAGGGTGATCATATTTTATAAAAAAAAAAAACCACAAATGCTTTAAAATATGCAGTATTTTTAAATTATGAAAACATTTGAGACTCTATATGTTTGACATGCTATTTTTTCATTAAATAAATTTATTTCTTTTTAAATAGTATTTCTACTTATGCATATGTGTTTATGTGCGTGTTTATATGTGCACCACATGCATGTGCCTGCCAAGGCCAGAAAATAGCCGCAAATCCTGTAAAGCTAGAATTCCAGGCAGTTGTGAGCAACTAGAAATGGGCGCTGGGTATCAAACCTGGGTTGACTACAAGAGCACCAAGACTCTAACCACTGAGCCATATCTCAAGCCTGATTTATTGACTAGGGGCAGGGACCACACATGCCACACAGGGCAAGCTATGTGGCAGGCATGTCTCTACTCAGCCATCTCTCCAGCACCATGTATTATTATTTTAGCAGTAGAAGACCAAAGACAATTGACAAAATAAGATAGCTGTCCAGAATTTAAGGATATTTACTTTTTCTTTTGGACTTACTTCTCTAATTTGAGCGGGATAGCGCACCAAGGCTTTGGGAAACCGCAATGAGCCAAAGTTGTCAGTAGGTGGCGGAAGAGCACCGCACGGCGCGGCTTGAGCTCTTTGAGGCTGTTGAGCTGTTTGGTTGGGAGACTGTCACAGAGAAACCATTCTCTTCAGGGGCACCTAGTGGGGGGAAGGCTTCCTTCCAGCACATACCGTTCCTGGATCACCTGTTTTTATGGGAAACCACCTAAGGCATTCAGGTTACATCTCATACAGCAGAGCACTTATGAGGGCATACGACATCTTCATTCCTTCTGCCTTTCAGATTGAGGATAATAAAATCGTATATTTCTTTTCTGAAACAAGATCTTGGTATGTAGCCCAGGATGCTCAGACTCTTAGCTCTCTTCCTGTCTCCATTCCACAGTTCTGAGCTTACAGGAATTACAGGCTTACCTCTGATTGACAAGTGTCTATTTTCCCTGCAAACTCTGAGAACCAACTGTACAAAGAAAAGAGTGTTTTCATAACTTACCATAGAGAACAGTTTGAATTTTGCTTCATTAGAAAGAGCCACATTTCCTCTTGTCTTCTGGGTCATTGCCTTCTCCTATCTGCTTCTTTTCTAACTGTACATATTTGGGAGACTAGAGATCAAAACAAGCCTGACTAAGGCCTTTATTTGTGGACATTGTGTCCAGTAAATACAAAAACACTAGATTCCCTGTCGTAGTCTGTTTTTGTCAACTTGACTCAAACCTAGACATTATCTGAGAAGATGAACCTCAACTGAGAAAATACCTCCATCAGATTGCCAGAGGAAAATCTAAGAACATTTTCTCGATTAAATATTGGTGTGAGAGGATACAGCCTCGTAGGGGCAGTGCTCTTGGAGTGTATAAGAAAGCAGGCAGTGCAAGCCATGGTGGCAAGCCAGTAAGCAATGCTCCTCCATGGCCTCCAATTCAGTTCCTACTTCCAGGTTCCTGCCTTCAGTTCCTGTCATGATTTCCATTTATGATGGAGTATGACCTGAGTGGTAAAATGAAATAAATCCTTTCCTCCTCTACTTGATTTTCATGGTGTCTTATAATAGGAATAGAGACCCTAAGACACGGGGCTGGAGAGATGCTCAGTGGTTAGGGGCACTGACTGTTCTTCCAGAGGACTTGGTTCCAGAGGACACGGCAGCTCATAACTGTCTGTAACTCCAAGATCTGACATTTCCACATAGACATACATGTAGGCAAAACACCAATGCACATAAAATAAAGGTAAATGAGATTTTTTAAAAAGATGGGAAAAAAAGAAACCCCAAGACACTCCTCTAATGCTGAAAGCTCTTTTCTTTCTTTTTTATTTTTCTCCTTCTCTTTTCTTTCTTCTTCTGTTTTCTTTAGAAAAGATTTCATGAGGACAAAGGACTTACTAGTAGCTCAGGCTTACAGAGCTACTTGGAACTCCCAACAGCTCTCCTACCTCAGGTTCCTGGAAGCTGGGTTTGCAAACATGAGCCACCACTCCTAACTTGAAAAGTCGAGTCGAAAGAGGTGGATTCTTAGTGTGTTCTCAGCCCCAGCCTATGGGTGGTCAGGGAGTGGAGCTAAGCTAGGTGGTGTGGCCACAGATATCACACTGTCAAAGGGCCCAGCCCTGAGAGGCCTTGTGTTAGTGGTCCTCTGATACTCAGAAGGATGGTCCCTGCCCAATAGTCTACCAGAGTGTATATGGTTATTTTGGGATGGTTCTCTCAGTACAAATCTGTGAAGACCTTTGGTTCACTAACACAACGTTTATGGAGTCTTCGTTTCAGTAGCTGTAATTGACTTGTGTATCCAGGCCCCATTCAGCAAGAGAAGATCTCAAGATCTCTCTCTCTCTCTCTCTCTCTCTCTCTCTCTCTCTCTCTCTCTC